CATATACTTCGAAGTATCCTCTACCAACTAGGAACGTTAGAAGAAAATCTAAATGTCTCCCTTCCCCCCTTAAATGTCATGTAGTGTGGTTTATGTAGTAGAACGAAAGGAGCAAAAAATGTTGCATTTCTTTCCGCTGTTATTTTTTGATCCGCATCGTGGTACTTTTTGAAAGTACATCGTAAAACCTTGGCTGATATCTCATTTTGTAGAAAAGTATCTAAGGGAGTATATTTGGGGGGTATATAAGGGGAAATATTTGAGAATGAATTCTAAGGTTGTCAGATTGTCTGAAAAACCGGGATTTTTAGAAATCTTTTTGTAAAGACCTAGACGCCTAGCACAATGTTTTTCCGTCGAAACCTATAGGTATAGAGAGATATCGATGCAATATCGAAACTTTGATCACACAAATTTTGGCTCGTATTCAAGATAAAATGAGCTCACACACAGTTACAAAACCTCGAATAATTTATCGCAAGAAAAAAACCATTGAAATGTTGAAAATCACACATATGAAAGTTGAGGTCACATAAATCTTGATATTAGGAACTATTTAGAGCACAAAAATGCGCATATGTACACTCCAGTGAATACTGAGGATAGGTATTGACGAAACGCGACTTTACCATTGAGGACAATGAACTGCTCAGAATGCCACAATAATCAATCTACTCTCTAGCTCTTATAGTTTTTATATAAACTGAAATTTAATACGTCGAAAATGTCTCGTCCGTAGTCGCTGTTATATAACGGGTGGTACAAAAGTCTTGCATTAAATGTCTAACATGATTTCTGCATATTGCCAATGTGCTGAAGAGCTAATTATGTTTTCCTTGGAAAAAGCAAAGTCTGGAACTTCAAAGAAACATAGCAAACCAAATTTTTGAGATTGACTTTGAGGAAGAAAAAGTTCTATACCAAACGTTATCCGAAAAGTCTAGCAACTTACATTTTTTGTTAAATTTTTACTAGGGCCTGAAGAAAAAAGCTTTTCTGAATACAAAATAGGTGAGAATGTAGCCCGTGCAAAACTCTATCGACTTCCCTACTTTGGAAAGTCTGTCAGTAATTTTTTAACAATAAATAAAGCATATTATAGGTCTAAATTTTGGTAGAAAACACTACTCTCTAAAAAAAAAGGACGGATTCAGACGGAACCTTTCGAGGGTTCAAGAATTGAGTTTCTCACCGAACCCTCAAAATCGTTTCGTCCAAAAAGAATTACCATTTCTAGAACCATTTCTTCTTTTTCAAAAGAAGGGTTCTGACTAACAAAAAATGGTTCGGAATTACATCTTTTGAAAAAAAAGACTCCGAAAAAGATAGAGCGTACTGTGTTTATGTTAAATATATCAAAAATCTCCAATACTTCGAAAATATTACTTTTTGCGAGCACATATGCTAGAAACGTAATGTCGAAACATAAAGTATCAAAAAAACTTTAAATAAATATAAACATAAATACTTAATATGTAAAAATATGTTGAGAGGATGTAAACATTTTTTTCGGTACTCTTACAGAACATGGTACGCCAAACTTCTTACCGTACGATGACACGCTCCATAAGTCTTAGTTAATGATAGTGAAGGTTAGAGTCAATAAAAACACTAAAACTATTAAGCAACTTCATCGTTAAGAGCTCTAAAATCTGACAACTTATTACTGTCTGATATATTTTCCATTAAAGCGGGAAAAAAGAGTATCGCTCTAAGAACTGGAAAAAAGGACATGTACGATCCTCTATTCTGAAAATATTTAACTACTGTCGATGTTATAAGCTTACTGTTGATCATTAACTAATATTGATAGTCATTTGAATACATTGTTGGATAACATTTATTCCAGTTTCATGTTATCCAATCGAAATATTAAATAAATCAGAAGGGTGAAATAAATTAAAGTTTATCTAAGACACATAAATGAAAGTGAAAACTAAAAATTTTGAATTGCGATGACGGCTCAAAGTAAAAAAACATGTGTTTTTTCGACATTAATGGTTAGCTTGAAAAGCAACTGAAACTAACTAACTTTTGAAAGAGAGAACTTCGGCAAAATAAAAAATCTGTACAGCGAGAAAGAAGGCAGAACTGTTTTTTGCATTTTTAAGAAATGAAAAGACTTTTTCTGCAGGATCGAACTTAATTGGGCTCTTTAGGAAAGAAAATAAGTTTTTGAAATCTGGATCTTAGGAAAAGCGTACAACTTGTACTATAAGAAAGAGTAAGAAGGCTTAATTTCAGGGCCATGGGTAGAGGTGGGCATCGGGACCAAAAAACTTTTCTGGTCCCGGTAAAAGATTTGATTGCCGTTCTATCACCTTCACGGTTAAAATATCATTTGGCCGTGCATTTTGTAGAGAAATGTTTGCTCTTTCAGATTATATATTCTAAAATATACCACAGACCTTCGTTACGAATTAATTTGACAAATACAATGACCGGGACCAATCTGGTCCCGGTCGGTCCTGGTGATCTTGGTCCCGGTCATGTATTTGCTAAATTGATTGATAAAAGAGACTCGCGAAATATTTTAGAATATATAACCTGAAAGAGCAAACATTTCTCTACAAAATGCACGGCCAAATGATATTTTAACCGTGAAGGTGATGGAACGGCAATCAAATCTTTTAAAGGGAACAGAAGTGATTAAAACACTTCTAGTTTCTATAATCATATAATTTTAAACGTATTCTGTTGTAGAGAAAAATACGTTTGATGCGAGAGATACGTTGGAAGAGAACGAAAGTTGCAAGAGTTTTTTTGGCGACGTTTGGTATAGAACTTTTTTCTTCCTAAAAGTCAGTTTAAAAAATTTTGTTTTCTATGTATTTTTTGAAGTTCAGACGTGGCTTTTTCCAATTAAAAACTAATTAACTCTTCAGCATATGTACAGTTTCATGTGTTTAATCATGGCTCTAGGCAGTATCCGTGATCCACTATGTTTGATATAAATAGCTCAAAATGCTAAGTGTTGACTCTGAGATATATTCCAAAACAGTGCAAAACACAATTTTTTGAAGATGTTATAATATTGATTTCTCAAAAGCGAAGGACAATAAAGAGACGAAATTTTGCTCATGGATGGGTGCGCTGTGTTCTCCGTTCATCTACTTAACAGTAATAGACATTAATTGTCAACGATCCACTAGTGTGTGTGGTACAGTTTTGAAGATTCTTAATAAAACTCTCCCAACTTTTGGTCAAAGTATATCAACGTTGGGAGACATCAAATATTTACCAGAAATGTTCGCTCTACAAATCAACATCATCGAAAGCCTTTTTTATCTCGGCATTTTAACTGCATGTTAAAATTCCAAAAAAATCAAGTTTTTAGGCGATTTAGAAACCTTCTTCAGAAATTCTAAGAAACCTTCAATTTTATGGGAGAATTAGAGAATAAAATAGGTTAAAATGAGCAAAATTATCTTTTTTCTACTTCTGAAGTTCCAAAACTACTTTTCTCCGATTCTTCATCTGGAAGTATAAAACGTTAAGTTTGGCATCTCCAGAAACAAATATGCTCTAAAAATTTGCCGAAAACGAGTTTGTTTAACAGGTAATATCAATATCTTTTTGACTAATATTATAATCGTTAGAGATAAGTATTTGATCACCCATATTATTCACGATATTTGTCTTTATAGCTGTATTATGATTAGATTGAAAAACGCGAAGTTGTTCCATAGCTGTAGTCTACAGCTACTTTACGAACTAGAAAATATAAGCCTTATTATGTTAATGAAAACGTTTTTCGGTAGAGACAGTTCGAGTTCAGTCTATTCCTGTATTTCAAATACGTTTTATTACATGCTTAATAATCTTAATTGTCTCTTATTTTGTGTCAGTTTCCAGTCTTATTTGTTTACCTGTGTCCATTGAGAAGGCTTGTAAAAAGTCGAAATGTTTGGATAAAAATGTATTAAAGGTAGATACACCCCCTCTTTGTTGACCCACTGTGAAACCGGGGACCGATGTCGGATCGGGGTGAAATTTACAACAGAGATAGAATATCGAAAAAGAAAATTGAAGTATTTTTGCACAGAATTTTGTGACATGCTCGTCTATGGGTTTTCTAGAAAACTCTGGTTCACATTACGACTCAGTCACATTACGACCCCTCGAAAAAATGGTCCGATCGAACTCAAAATTTTACCACAGACACTTCAAACCCTATCTCAGGTTAGTTCCCAAAAATGCTGAAAGTCAAGCAAGAAAAAACGCAGTTTTTTACAGGTTTTTTTGCGTGACTTTCAGCATTTTTGCGATATCTCGAGAAGGAAAGCATATTTTTTGAAAAGAAGAAAAACGAACCTGAGATAGGGTTTGAAGTATTTGTGGTAAAGTTTTGAGCTCGATCGGACCATTTTTTCGGGGGGTCGTAATGTGACTGGATGAAAACCAGAGTTTTCTAGAAAGCCCATAGAAGAACATGTCACAAAATTCTGTGCAAAAATACATCAATTTTCTTTTTCGATGTTCTATCTCTGTTGTAAATTTCACCCCGATTGGACATCGGCGTCCCCCGTTTCCAACAGGGTCAAAAAAGAGGGGGTACCCTTAGGTTTATAGAAATGAAGCAATTAATACTGTTAATAATAAAAATATTACAAAATATGCTGCAGAATTTGTTATTTTATGGCTTTTTGTCGCACTTTGCTTCCACCTTGAACTCAGAAATGTGAAACATGAGAAAAAAAACGTAAAAAATTTCTTTTCTCTTCTGCAATGTTTTGAAATGGACGACATAGAAAAAACAGATACATCTTTTTTTTTCTTTCTGGTTTGCTCCTTTTGTTATGGAAGAAATTATTTTTGTCAACTGCAAACAACATTTCTTTCTCTACCTTTATAAAAAAAAGCAGGAGACTCAATCATCTTAGCCACATTTCTAAGTGCAAAGGCAAACCACAAAAAAGATAACGGTAAGTACGGTGTATATGGATGAATGGATGAACTATAAACTACCTTTTTTTATTTGAAGCTTCGTTTCGGTTCCTATGGCTACAGCACAAACATCTCTAGATGAATTCTTCGAACAACACAATACTTTAAGTAATATAAAACCGTTTGTCTCCGAACTTAAAAAAGAATTAAAAATGATGCAAAGTAAACTTGACTGGTTTACACATTATGTTGAACAAATTGATCGTGTTCATGATACAATAGTAGAGGTGAAAATACAACAGGAAGAAATGCAGCATAATCTTATTAACGACCAACAGGAATGGAGTGAAATTCAAGCAAAATTAGCTCAGACATCAGGAAAAGGAAAAGTAACATTGAACGTCGGTGGTGAAATATTCCAAACAACTATTGAAACATTGACTGTTGAAAAACCATCATTTTTTACTGCATTATTTTCACGACAATGGCATGTGGAAAAAGATGAAGAAGGAAGTTTATTCATTGATCGTGATGGTTGGCTGTTTGGTCATATCTTAAAATATTTTCGAACTGGTGAAATTGACATACAAAACGACGATCCTGTGTTACGTAAGGATTTAATGATTGAAGCTCGATACTATCATTTAGAAAGATTTGCGGAACTACTAGCTGCAGTACCACCCGTAATTGAAACTAAACGTAATTTTATTAACAGTACAATACTAAGCTCTGACTACGAGCTGAAATTAAATGAATTCTACGGTAACCAAAATCAACAATGGCGATTAATCTATAAAGCAAGTAGGGATGGTTATGCAACAGCTAATTTTCATGATGTTTGTGACGGCGTTAAACCAACAATGATCATTGTTCTATCGAAAAATATGTGTAGTTTTGGTGGATTTACTCAAATTGCATGGACTAAACAGAAAAAAGATAACACAGATTCGAACGGCATTTCTGTTTACATTGAAAAATCCACATAAAATTCCGCCAACAAAATATATGATTAATGAAAAATGGGTACATTGTGCAGTGAGTCACACACAACTTTGTGCAGCCAATTTTGGTTCGATAACGGCCGGCGGTAGTGATTTATGTATTTATAATGAATGTAATCACAGACCAAGCGTATCATTTTTCCCATCATGTTATGTAGACACGACTGGAAAAGGTAATTTAACGTTTACAGGATATAAAAGTTTTTTATGTACTGACATTGAAGTGTTCACAACAGCATAAAAATGTTTCTTTGAAAATAAACCTTATTCTTCTAGTTCAAGATTATGTTGGATTACGACTGACGTTCGACATCACACTCGATATTAAAATAGCATACTATTTCGATGAGCTCGGTACCGGGACAGAAGTGTCAAATAACAGTATCGATAACTCTTTATCTCGAGAGGCGTACAAGATCAAGAGCGAGACTTCAAAATTTTTTGTAACTTTAGCATCAGTAAAAGAGTAGAATGGAAATAAAAATAAGAGAAATATCGATTCTTTGAAAAAAAAACATCTTTGAAACCTTTTAATCCCACACACATTTAGTAGTTGGAAAGAAAAGCATATTACAAACAATTCACGTTATTTGTACGTTAATGAATACTCAGCAAGAGTTTGTGCACTTAATAAACATCTTACAACCACAATCAATTCGATAGGTTTCTTCAACAAAGACTACTCATTGTGTGTACATTCAGTCACTGACGATTTTCTTGTTCAGTAGTCATATTACATTGTCCTCGTTCTCATCAGTTAATTATATCTCTTTCTTTCTCTCATTGTTAAATCTGTCATTCACTCTCCTTGTGTGCGTGTTCAATCTCTCTTCTTTTGTCTTCTGTACTATATATACTCCATGATAGAATTTCTTTACACAAAGGTCCTTGAAATAGTGTGTTAAAGCCAATTATGGAAATTGTCAGTATTTTAATATCAAATGTATCAAACATATTCCTGTATAAATGAAATGTGATAATAATGTTGCAGTTAATTTTATCCAATGAGAGGCCACAGAATTTATTTGATAGTCATCATTGGATCTAATCCAATTCGCTATCAACATCATTGTATATAATGGTACAAAACTTTGAATTAAATATTCGAACATACAACGTACACATTTTGAATTATGTCCAACTGTTATCGATGAAGATGACGATATTATTAACATTGTCGAGTCAGTATCATCATTAATACTATCAGTTTGAATCAATTCATCATCATCATCATCACCTAAGAGTATCAGTTCTGGTTGAACCGTCGCAGCTTTTTCATTGATATAACATTTATTATTCCAAAATAAATAAATGAATGTATTTAAAAATAAGAAACCAATGGAAAAATGTATATCGAATATATTTAATAAATTTCCATTTTCAAGATAATAATACTGAAGTGCTGGTAGATCTAGATAACAGTGAAAATTTGAATGATTTGTTAATGATGACCATAAATAATAGGTTATTAATAATGAAATAAATGATGATTGTAATAAATGAGATATTTGATTTCCTTTCCTAGTGAAACTAAGAATTGAATTCAGAATACAGAAAATGAAATGTATTGTTATAAATACAATATTTAATCGACATTTGATGTAATAGATGTAGAGTAAAATAATTCCAGTTAATGATATAACGTAAAATATGAATGTGATAAAAAAATAAATGAAAATTTGACGGTTTTGAAATGTTTGAATCTCTAATGGTGATTTTGTCCATTTTTCTGTTATATGAATAAAATAACTTGTTTGAATCAACATAAAGACAGTACCCCCACTTAGTACCAGATAAAAGAATGGTTTTAAGAATATTTTAGTGTAATAGAACAGTATGTAACCGATAGCTGGACCAATGAAGGATACAATTTCAAAAATGATACCTTCGCTATTTTTACAAAACTTTTTCGACCATTTTAATATTCTTTGATTACCAAAACAGAGACGTATTAGAAATACAATCAGATAATACAGAGTTATACTAGCTGTAAGAGAAGAAAGTTGAAAATAATATTTTTCATCTTGTATTTTACAATAAATTTTATTTGAGATATTAATCGATGTTGTATTTGTGCTCACCATGTCCGTCAAAAGACATGGTTCTAAATTTAAATATTTGCCACCATCCGTCAATCGTTTTACAAAACAAGCAAAGAGAACACCAATTACAAATAGTGACATAAAATATTTTCCAATATTTGATAATATTATTCGTATAATAGATTTTAATATATTTGACATCTTGCCCTGTTTGTACAATATCTAAAATATGTTAAAAATGTAGCGACTAAACAGTTCCTTACAGTTAGTCAACGAACTGCTGATTTATTTTCCAGCATAAGCTCATAATTAGGGCTGTAGCCGTTCACGTTGATCCTGCAAAAATTTGGCCGGAACGGGAACGTTTTTTTGCTGTTGACGTTCTGAGCTGTCAGCGTGAAAAACTATGTTGTAAGATGTCGTTATAGTAGAGTCCAGTATAAGTATGAATGACCGGTAGACCGAAAAGCATTGAGAAAAATCATGCGAAAGAAAATTGAAAAAAGAGGCACGAAACTAGCAGAATGACGTTGAAAACGGGTAAGTTTCTCAAAACATTTTGATTGACGAGATATCTTCACTCAAGCCAACGCTTTACAGGAAAAAAATAAAGTTCATCTTTTTCCTGTAAACCCTTCCTGCAAAGATTCAGAATAAAGAGTTGTATGGTCAAAGAAGATAAAAAACAATGAGTATTTTCCTGTGCGAATTATTTATACCCCAATAGTTAAAAATGTATACAGATGATGTACGATATAGAAATTACAAAATATTATAGACAGAATATGTACACTAAGTGTAATTTGTTAATTTAGAAGAGAATGAGCTAGCTATAAGAGAAGTATAACTAGATTAAGTAATCATATGAATTTCACGCTTATATAGATATAGTTATAGATTTAACAGAGAAGGCAGTAAGACACGAGTGAAGTTTATATGTTCATAGAATTGTGCATATAACAAGACAGCACTCACTATGAAATTATCTTTTATTCAACGTTACAACCTAAAGTAAAATGAACTAGAATGTGGTTAACCCTTTGAGTCCAAATGACGTATATATACTTCATGGTATTTCGATAAATGATTGAATTTTTTGGGCTGTAAAGCACTGGGCATCGTCATTCTAAATTTGTGTAATTAAATTTAATTTCTAAAATTGAAGTAAAATTCATACATTTTACTAACTTTATTCTGTGATATTGAGATCTCTATATCATAAAAACTAAAACAGACCTTTTTCAAAAAATAGCTTGACATAGAGTACAACTTGTGTACTTCAGATTGTCATAAAAACTGGAGAAGGGTACCTTCAAATGAAAATCCACCGTGGAGAATCCGAGTAGAGACCCGCTCGGATTAAGAACATCTGAACCCGAACCCGACCCGACCCGATGAAAACAATCTCACCAGAAAACTGTGTTTGAGAAAGAATATAGACTTGCCTTGTTAGACAAAAGTTTTTCGGTGCATATTGTAGAATCTCGTAGTTCAAAAAAAAATTTTTGAACGACGTCTGATTGGTCATTTTGTCTAAAAGGTTAATCTATCGAAAATTCCTCAGTACACTTTGTCAACAGATTATCTTAATCCTTTTTCTCATTGGTCAGTCAGTATCATCTAATACTAAGATAGCAAGTAGAGAGCATTATAGTAAAGTCTTCTGTGTACGGGTGTTTAAAACGGTACATTGAAAAAAAGCAGTAAGGGATGTATTGCCATTGATTTCAGTGCAGGAAGCACTTATGTGCAAAGAAAGCAATCATTAATCGACTTAGTGAATACAGTTATTCCGAAACAAGTCTTTCAACTGGAAATTCCAGTAGAGATAACTGTCAACCAGTAATACAAAGCTAAAAATATTATTTATATTTTAACTTGCGTCGCCAGATATTCAACCCGAACCCCACCCGCCGACCCTAGGATCGGGTCGGGTTGCAGGTCTCTATTGGATACAAGTATATAGTTTACTTTTAAAACAAACTAGACATTAAGCCTCAAAGATTTTACCCCATGTCCCCATTTTCACTGTGATCATTTGCTAGAACTGTCGAACAGCGAAAAATCTTTAATCAGTAGGATTTTTGATAAGATCGAATGTATGGTGTATTATAAAACTTTATGAGAGAAGAGTTTTCCTTAAACAAAAATTAACTGATGCGTTAAAAATATTCTACCGAAACAAATGTATGGAATAGTCGCTAGTTCTGTACGATTCAACGTGTCACAAAAATGCAGACGACGCTTAAAAGAACAAGAAATAGATCTTTCATATACTACAAGAATAAAATCTCAACAAACACGTCTTAGAAAATGAAGCTTTTGCGATACCATAAAGTGCAAATATCCGGTATAAGCAAGTCGTATTTATTGGACATTTATTATGATATTTATTATATTCTATTTTTCTCTATGCGGTTATATTTCCTGTTCGACTATGTTGACGAGCCATTGTCTTTTATGTTTAATTGTTCATTTTTTAACACTTGTTCAAACAACAGCTGAAAGACTGACTATTAAAATAAACGAAACTAACGAAAAAAACGTCCACTGATATGTCGTACAGATGATCGCCATATTTTCATTGAAGAAGAAACATACATTCTTCAAAAAAAGAAATAGATCTTTCATATACTACAAGAATATATCACTTAATTCAAAATTCTATTTCACCTTGTTCGATTATAGCATTCGATGTAGCATTTCAATTCTGAATATAGAGTTCAAAAAATTGTCTTGTCTACTATTCCACCGGTTTAAAGTGTCATTCATTTAACGATGATACGTATTAAAAACTGTTTTATTAATTAGAAAAGATTTTCTATTCTATTTTTCCTTTAAATCGAAGAATCATCATCCAGATGCAAAAATCTCAATGTATGTAGAAATTACAAGTCTAAAAGCATATTAATTATTGACTACTTTACCTGATTTTTTGTCCAAGAATTGCATTATTTTCAAGTATAGAATCTAAGTAGATACTAATTTTTTTCTATTCAATAATACAAAATGTGTGTGCATATTTTCTTTTTCTAAAAATATTTTGTGTTTATATTTAATACAAATATCAATCACAAAAGCGTTTTTCTCATACTTTCTCTCTCTGTCTCTCCCTCTCTCTCTCTCTCTCGAATTGTTAAGAGCATACAAAATCCTCGAAGATGTTAAACGTTGTTTATGATGAAACTTATTTGTTTCATTATATAGCAAGTGATACGATTATACTTCTGATAATAATTAATAACTAATAAATGTTCTCTTATAGTCGCCCGAAAAACAAATAAGTGAATATTTTTGACTTACAGGGAAAAAAAGATTTAATTTGGCCATAGAGCTGTTTGACCTTATCCACTTGACAAATATATGTATATACAAAAGATTGAAGAGAATAGAACCTGGAGAACAAAAAACAAGTACATCAAATAGTGGCACGAGGAATTAAGTCATGATATTTCAAAAATGACGTTAAAGAAAGACCTGGTTCATTGATAGACATTGTCATAAACTGGATAACCTTCCTATAAGTTAGTGAACATCGTGTATTGAGAACAATTACTTACTAAAACGTAGAAAATTCAAGAAAAATCTTTACTTTATTTAGCAGCAAGATACAGTAAGAAAAACTAAAATAATTCAACAATAAAAAGATTTTGACTGACAATAATAAAAGAAAGAATTACATATTCTTAAGGGTATCCCACCCCTCTTTTTTCATCTTATTGCCAAATGTGGAGCACATGTCTGATTGAGCTCAAATGTATAGCCGTGATAGAACATCGAAAAAGGAAATCGACATATTTTTGTCCAGAATTTTCTGAGATGTTCTTATATGAGTTTTCTGGGTAAACTCCAGGTTTCAAGAAAAATTATTATGTCGCTGTAGATTTTAATGGGAAAATTTTTGAAGTGTAGCTAAAAGATAGAGCGAAGTCACGGTTACATAACAGCTGTTTCAGGTTTTCTTACTTTCAAAACATTAACACAACAAACCGTTTTTGAGTTTACGAAGTTTTCATTTTTGTTGCCTTTCGTCTAATTTGCGTAGTCATCTTGATTGAAGTTCTGAAATTAAAGTTTAAGTATGATTTTGTAGAGAATTTTACGGTGGTTCTATTCAAAAAGAGTTTGCTGTAGGAGACCTAAGGACCAGGAGTTAGAGCAAAAATACCGAGACCGATGTTAAAACAGAACTATGTTTACCTGAATTAAAATCTAATTTGGCTGTTGCAAGAGCAACTTGTTCACAATCTTTTTTACTAAAACTAAACACGATAACGCGAGCTAAATTTCGTTTTAAAATCATTTTGACTATTTTAAAATAATTTGTGTCATCTAAACATGAAGCTCCAGTGCATAATACTGACAACTTTTACGGTCAACAATGTATTACTTTTAAAACCACCGCGCTTTGTCTGTTTATCCTCACGAAATTTGCCTTAAAATGAGAATAAATATCATATTCATGACACTATTTCCATATTATTTTGTAGGAACGACAATACATACCGTTTCATCAACCATCGAATGTAATCGTTCAGCGCCGGCGGAAAAAATATAATGATGTAATGGTACTGGACGCATATCAGCATAGATAAGATGACACGGCTAGAAAATAAAAGAACTAACAGTATTATTTTATCAAAGGAATTACAGAAGTAGAATACTTGATTATGAAGATCCATTCGACAAATTGTCTTACATTTAGTACTGTTGTTGATAGTCATACGTAATGGACATTGTTCGGGAATAATATGACTGTTTCTTCTCATATAACACCACAGTCTTAAGAAAAAGCACAACAGTATTCAAAATGATAATCCTTTCTTCTTTCTTCTTTCTTTCTTTTTATTTTGGTAACATACCATGGTACATAATAAAAGTTCAGACATAAGAATGACTTGCAACAGAAAAAATAAATATGGAATTCAAGGTTTCTGCCTATCATGACCAACAACTAAAAATAGCGAGAGAAATGTTTTTCACACTAATTTTTGGGGCAAGATGAGGACATTGTTCGAGAATAATATGACTGTTTCTTCTCATATAACACCACAGTCTTAAGAAAAAGCACAACAGTATTCAAAATGATAATTAGAGCATGCAGCAATCTACCTTTATCTCTCAAATAATAGATCTCGTCGAATATAACCCATGCTGCTTCTCGTGTTATTTCTGATGCATGGTAATATACATCGTAAACCTGTAAACGAAAACACGTTAAATGAGGCCAATTCATATCCTATCGAAACGAGTAAAAAGTCCATACTTCAGTTGTCATAATAAGACAAGATACAGATGACTTTATTGTCACATCGCCAGTCATTGAACCAACACCTGTAAATTCTTCATGTAATTGACGAAATTTTTGTGACTTAAAGCTTCTGTCATTGTCGTATGTATAAGACGTTGTCGATCTCTCAGTGCCATTGTAACAAGATATTTAAATCAAAGAAAAAGAAGTACATGAACAATACATAGCCGAAGTGAATATATACATCACAATATAGGTAAATACGCCTTTTTTGCTTTGATCTTTTGGTTGTATGTGCTCACCAACTTTTTTTTGCAAAAATGAGACTTGCTCTCCGTAAGTTAAATACGTTTAGATTAATCTAGTCACAGAAATTATTTTAATTTATTTGTCAAATTTTTATGCTGTCGATCAAGACCTTAGGGAACGTTTCAAAATGTGTTCCGGTCGGTCAGTCGCTATTCCTCTATTCCGCCCTTCCTCTATTCCGCCCTTCCTCTATTCCCCAATTATTCCTCTATTATAGAATTTAAATTCTAATTTATTGTATTTTATTTTGTATAATTCGGTTTCTTTGATTGCATTGTTGATACATACATCAGCATATATATACTTCCAATGTGTTCGTTTTTTTAGTTAGCAGACATATTTATAAGAGCAGACATTTTTCTGCCTAAAGAATAAAATCAGAAAGGAACAAATTTTATATTTTCATCAAATGTTCATCTTTTTTATATTCAACGAGGCGAGTGCTCACTGTAAACTTATTTCGTGTCACACTTCGCGAACTAACATTACACTAATTAGAATAGACCCATTTCCATCTTTTATACTAGTTTAAAGTGCACGAGTTGTACACTATGCTGGTCTATTTTTTAGAAAAGGATTCCTTTTAGTCTTTGAGAAATATGACTGTGAATATGGTTAATTATTGTTTAAAAAAGCAAGTTTTTCCGTGCGCGACTTCCAGAGACTTGTTTTGTTTGTCTCGAAACTTGCTTTTTTAAACAATAAT